TATTTGGTGCTATTTGAGTGTAAGCTACAAAATAAATTGGGTTTAGCCAGTTTGGGATAGTAAGCGCTCAGTATATTTGGTGCTATTTAAGTGTAAGCTACAAAATAAATTGGGTTTAGCCAGTTTGGGATAGTAAGCGCTCGAAATATTTGGTGCTATTTGAGTGTAAGCTACAAAATAAATTGGGTTTAGCCAGTTTGGGATAGTAAGCGCTCAGTATATTTGGTGCTATTTAAGTGTAAGCTACAAAATAAATTGGGTTTAGCCAGTTTGGGATAGTAAGCGCGCAGTATATTTGGTGATATTCAAGTGTAAGCTACAAAATTGAATTGGGGCAAATTATTTGAACTGATTATAGATATAACAAACACTAATCATACCACTTGCACTTTACATAGCATGTTGGGGGATGAACTGAGGAGGGAATATGAATTCGTCCCGACTTTCGGAGAAAGTGACGGAATATTTTTGCTCGGGGTGCTTTTTTCATCAGAAAAATTTTGATTTCTTAACTAGCCGTTTTTGACGGATTTTTTTAAATTTCATTCAAAATGTATTGTTGTCTTGAACTTACATTAAAAACAATACACCTCATTTTTCGTGAAGTTATGGTTGATCGTAAAGATTGCCATTTTAGCCAATTTGGGACAATTAACGCGCGATATATTTCGCGCTATTAACGCGTGAGCGGAAGTTTAACCCATCGTAGAAATCGTTCCAACTTGGTTGAAGCAGGATAGTTGCCATAACTGCTATGTTACTAGGTTCCAAATCTAGCACTTTGTACTTTATATGGTTTGATTTTAGGAAAAATCTCAAATTAGAAAAAAAAACTTTTTTTATGGAAAAAAGTTCATCATTTTTTGTAAAGCGAATTTACCTCATAGCATTTATAGGGCTTCACCCTGATACGAGCAGTCTTGTTCGAACTTATTAGATCATTTTCTAGCTAAATTTTTTTTACCATAGACTTGTTAAACGACAGTTGGAGCATTCAGGGCTTCATTTTAATTTTTCAGGCTTTGTCATTTTCTTACAACAAAATTAGTTTCACATACAACTTTTTTAAACCAGTATACAAGTGCTAAAATATTGAATTTCAGATACTGAAATCAGAGCAGGAATCTGAAAAAAAAAAGATGTCGGAAGAACCATCGGGTGGCTTCGTATATGAGCCGAACTTACGAGTGTGGAATGATACGACGAGTACAGGTGCTTATCCGTATGAAACGATGGAACCAAGCTTCATCGTTCTCGTCCCCGCAGTTTTGTGCACATTGGGGTGTTTGAGCCAAGTGGTGATGATACTCATCGCCCGCGGTCTGCAAGGAAACTCCTCGGCGAAAACTTTTCTTCAAGGACTGTTTTCCAGCTTAAGTCCCCTCGTGGCATGATTTTATTATCATTAGAATAATGGTTTGCTCCCGCACCGACAACTAAAGGATTATGATCTAATATTTTTGACTTTCATTACAAGGCCAAACTATGCACAGGATAAGCGAATCGTTTAATGTGAGTAAATTTCTGGAATCCAGAGACATTTCTTTAAATATGCAACAATTTTGTTGGCACAATCAAAGAAACCAAAATATGATTATTTCGATTTTCTTACAGTAAAAAATATAAGATTTTAGATCTGTAGTAATTTTGTTTTGTAAAAATTCGATTATATAATTTGAATTATCGATTATAACGCATTTTATTTTGCAACAGCTTACAGTGTATATCTTAGTTAGTTGATTGATCATCACCAAAAAAATTCTAAACTTTTTAAAATCAAATTTCATGCATGCAATAAACAGATCGTTTATAGATTTTAACAGATTATCTATGTTTTATATACTGATTACCTACAAAAAACACAGATTACAAATTATATAAAGACATAATTAGATTATCTATGAGTTTATTAAAACAAAAATATAATATATGCTTTGCAGTTGAAACTTTGTTCTAATCTGTGGTCTGTAACAAATAGTCACATCAAAAATCCGGAAGACGCTTGCAGCAAAAGTTAACTGTTCTAAGGTGAGCTTTTTAATTATCGGTCAATTGTTGGTTATCAAACTGGGCTAAGAAAAATCTTGTAAATAGCATTTGAAGAAACTTTGCACAAACGTACTTCTCTTATAGAGGTAGTCCTTAGGTTGCAAACTCTTAGAAGGATATCTTGGATCTTGTCGTTTGCGGTAAACAACTCTCCTCAAGTGAGTTCAGCTCACTAAAACTCGGATGCAGACTTTATGGAACAAAAAAGAGTGGAAAAAAAACTTAACCTACAAAAAGCATATTTTAAATTGAAATTGTTAGAACCCCTGTCATAGAGCAACGTATGATGTGTCACTAATATCGAATCCGACCGGATTGGTAAACTATAAATGTAAGTTGTAACTCAAATAAGAACGACTTGTTAGTAAACTATTTATTCAACTTCTGACCGATTGCGCAGCAATGTTCTACATCCAGAGCAAGGTCAACCGACCAACCGTAATCAATCAACGCAGTGAGCTTATATGTAAATATGGTGTTTGCCAATCGGGACCGGACGACAACCCCTATAGTTTTTAGTGAACCCAATATAATCATTTTTATACGGATTTAATACAAATTATATACATAATATCTAATGATTACTTACAAGTTATTTTTCTATATTAACAATTTATTATATACAGATTATCTGCAGGTTACATACAAGTTAATAGACAAGAAAAAACGATTTGTTTTGCGATAGAATCGTTTTATTTTTGTTTTAAAAGAATTGATTATTGTTTGAAAATTGGTTGTTGGTAAATTGATTCTATACTTATGTTAATATGTATAGGTTTTTGTATGTATAATCGCTCTTCATCCATTTTTGTCACTGCGGAACAAAGAAAAATCAAAAAATTTAAAAAGAGGCATTTTTTCGATATCCGCTACGATTCATAAAATGCATAGTTTCACCTCGTAATATGTTTACAGAGACTAACAACGAATAACGATATAACCGATTAGGATTCAGGGGCGCTCGCTGCGGGCAGGAATTTCACTATACAATAAATAAAGAAATTAAATCCTGATTGTCTATAGGAACAACTCTTAGTTTCTCAAATATCTGGGGAGAGTAAAAAACTTTCCTTAAGTTAGAAAATAATATTTGAATTTTTTGTGTTAAGTCATTAGAAAGGTTATTTTAAAATCGATGTTGTATAACGCAATTAAAAGCTCGTGAGTCAAATTGTGTGCTTATTTTGGATGATTTTATTCCATGCAGAGTGCTGAACGATCCTCAGTTATAGAAACACGAGCTAAATGGGCCCAAATTTTGGCAAAATGAGCTGCTTGAGCTCAATTGTTAGCAAATAGGGCCCCAATTCCGGTCCTCCTTTTGCCAGTGTGGGATTGCATGAGCTCATTTAATCAAAAAAGGATTATTTGAAGTTATTTTCTTAGCTGGGATTGCTTTTCGAAAACATAATAGTTATTCAAGCAGGCTTTCGAAGCGATGAAACTATGAAATATTTTGAGTTTGTTTTAAAAGCGAGAATTGCTTCTCAAAATATTAAAGTTGTTTAAGGAAACTATTAAAGCGATAAAAATTTGAAACACCTGAAACTTTTTTGTAGCTTGGAATGCTTGACAAAAAAATTGCTGTGATTCAAGCAAGCTTTGAGACACTTCGAAGTTGTTTTTATAGCTTGGAGTGCTTTGCTGAAACATTTGAGCTTTTCGAGATTTTTGAGCTATTTCAAAGTTTCATCACTAGCATCAAGTGATAAAATTTCGAAATAATTTGAAATTGTTTTCGTAGCGGATGTTGCTTCCCAAAAACATAATAGTTTTTCAAGCACACTAGTGAATGAATGATACTTTGAAATAGTTTGAAGTTGTTTTCTTAGCGGGGAATCTTTTCAAAACATAATAGTTTTTCAAGAGAGCTATTGAAAGGATGAAACTTTGAAATATTTTGACATTGTTTTCATAGCAGATATTGCATTCCAAAAACATAAGAGTACTTCAAGCAAGCTTTTGAAGCAATGAAACTTTCGAATTATTTGAAGTTTTTTTCTTAGCGGGGATTGCTTTTCAAAAACATAATAGTTCTTCAAGCAGGCTTTTGAAACGATGAAATATTGGAAATTTTTTGACATTGTTTTCGTAGTGGGGATTGCTTTCCGAGTACATAAGAATAAGAGTATTTTAAGCAAGCTATTGAAGCAATGAAACTTTGAAATAGTTTGAAGTTGTTTTCTTAGCGGGGACTGCTTTTCATAAACAAACTAGTTCTTCAACCAAGCTATTGAAACAGTGAAACATTGAAATATTTCGAGTTTGTTTTAAAGCGGGGATTACTTTTCAAAAATATTAAAGTTGTTTAAGCAAACTATTGAGCCGATGAAATTTTGTAATATTTGAAAGCATTTCTCGTAGCTTGGGATGCTTCGTAAAAATATGAAGCTAATCAATCACGCTATTGGAGCGATGAAAGCAAATTTCAAGTCAATTCATGCAGCGAACCGATTAGCAAAAAATTTCTTTTTCCTTGCCAACTATTGAAGCGGTGAAGTTTTGGAAATACTTCATGTTTCTTTATATAACAAATTGGCTCGGAAAATCATCGTCATCTTCGGTTTGGTTCAAGAGTTCTTTTCCTGATAGCAGTTCTTATTAGCTATATATTGAATTCATCAAAACGTACTTTCAATTCTTCATATTTGAAACTAAAAATTGAACTTTGTTATCACAAAACTTTCGTCCTAATTGCTTTGTGAGTTTTTATTATAATCCTATTTTTTGCCCGCCTATTATTTTCTGTTAAATTGAAAGATAAAAATCAGTTTATCTATCTAGTTTATCTATATGAACGTTTTTATTTTCTCACTTGCATTCATGGAAGTCAAAACGAGTGATGAGCGTGTTTTGTATGCAGTGAAACTAAACTTTTCCAAATAAATTAATTAATATTTAAGATACCAATTTTTGGGTCTGAATACTGCGAAAACTTTGACAAGCACAGCTGGAAAAGATTCCCTTCAAGCTTTGTCCGTTTCACAAGTGGTGCAACAACTGTTCATCATATACCTGTCAATCTGCGGCTCATTTGGTAAGCTGTAAAGTTCGATTTCAACATACAACCAGACTGAACAAATAAATTTAAATATTTTCTAATAAATCGTTTACAAACTAACGGAGAAACTGAGAGTAATAAACCAGGCGAGTGATATATCAACTCAAGATGAGCGGAGGAATTGAACCAGCCAAAAATCTACATCATCTGGTTGAAATTGGCATATCTTTCTGATCTGTTACATAATTGTTGCATAACTTCTATACAACACACGTATTTTCGGCTGGTTTATATATTTTCCGCGCATTTTCGGTTGGTTTATACTTCTGCTGGTTTATTTACCACCGGAAAATTGTCCTCGTCAGAACAAATATCCTCATTTGCTTGCCTAGGTGTGTGCCTGTTGATGGAGAGCAACTTTCAGTGCAAGATCACGTACCTTTTGTCGCTATGGGTCTTTCTCGTCCCTGATTGGCTAGCAGTTCCAGTATCTATTGATCGTATCAACGCAATCCAGTTTCCTGTCTGGTATGTATGACAACTTAAAGGTTGTTTTTTTTTAAAAACGATTTTTAATAAGTCGGACAGAGGATTTTTTTTACCGTAGTTGAGTTTTTTTGTTATCAGCCTTAAACATGTTGAATATGTCTTTATCGACAGTTGAAAATCCTTTGTTTGGCCAATTATAAGTTTTTCCATCAAAGTTAAGCTTTGAAAAAACTATACTGTTGTACAGTCATGGGACATAGAAACTGATCTTTCGTGAAAAATTTTAGTAATAAAAAAATGAAGGTTGATCTAAAAAATAAAAGTGGTAATAGAAGATGAAGATACGGGTGTAATTAAGCTGGGACTAGTTTGGGACTTATTAAGTTCAGGGTTCTCTACTAAACTAACTAATAGACTTTGTAGTAGTTAGAACATAGTTGAAAGATGCCCGCGGGAAAAAGAGCCCGGCCTGAGGGCACGAACTGCCCGAGTGGGGCTTTTTTGCCCGAGGCCGTCCTCAACTATGTTCTAACTGTTGAAGAGTATGTTTTTGCTCTTCCTGAGGGAAAGATGAAAGAAAATTGTGAAGGAGCCGGAAAAGTGCGCGAAACTAGGCAAATGATTTCTTTTTCATTCATGCGTTCTGATAAGTTTTTCATTCATGCCATGTCATGAAAGAACATGTGTGAAAGAGCAAAAACATACTCTTCTTTCATTCATGCGTTTTATTATTTTATTTTCCATTCATGCGTTAACGTGAATGAACATAAGTGGAAGAGCAAAAAAATACTCTTCTAAACCAAGACAGGTTGATAGACGTCGGTTAAGCTAACTAAGCTAGGTAAAAGATATATTCAGTTAAGAGGTCAATTGAGATTTGGTTTCACAAAAACATACACTGACTAAAGATCAGTTGTGCCAAAATCCGATATGCTTTTGGCATTATCTAATTCAAAAGTAGAATGTAAGCATCATAGAGACTGAAAAATCACCTTTGTCATTCCCCTCGGAAATTTACTGTACGGCAACAATGTAGTGCAAAGAATTTATCATTTACTTTTCACCCGAGGATAGCGCCCTAAGGGCATGATAAAAAAGCGACA